CTAATATAGTAAGACAAAGAGGGGATGGAGGTGGGGATAAATTTTCATATATTTAAACCTAATAAAGAAATAGTATTACAAAGTTGATATTACAATGGGTAGCCAATTCAGGACAAGACAAAAAGGACGATCCTTACTTCTCTATCTAACCTACTTATGTCAACATGCCAACTAAAACAGTGAGTCCCAAATGATAACTCTGCACCTGTTAACTTTGCCCTACTAACTTCACTCCAACCTACTAACTTCACTCCAACCTTCTTACAAAGGGTCTCCAGAGGAATAAAGGATAGTTAGAATCCCAAACATTCACCTTCTTCCCTGGTCTTAGGCAGGGAGCCACAGTGGAGGCAAAAAGGGGATTGTAACAGTTCTCTCCCGAGTGTGGTTAAGACTTGGTATTCCGTGTGTTTTACAAGTACTAGGAGAGCCGGGACCTCTGAGAAAGGAACCTGAGAAACTAGATGCTCAGGTCTGGCTCTGGTCCAGGCTCTGAAGGCTGGTGTGAATTTGACAAGTGAGTGACTTACACAGACAAGCCAGTCACTAGGGAGAAAAGCGAACAGATATTATGAAAAAAGAAAACTGTGCAAAACTGGAGTACCTCACTTGTTGGGTGCCCCAGAAACCCAAGTGAGTCAACCTAATGTGGGTATAGATCTCAGGATAAGAAAATAAAGTAAACAAATGCTTAAGAGCTAAAGGGCAAGATCCAGAGAGGAAGGCAAAGGATAGAGGAGACTGAGTTGAATCATATTTATTTGAACACTAGTGGTAAAGGTTGTGATTTGTGTAGGCTGTTTAAAGAAGGGGAATATATACTGGAGTCATATATATTGGGTACTGGCTTCACCACTTATTAGCTATAGAGAAGTTATTAAGCACTCCGTACCTTAGTTTCCTGTCCTCCCTATAGTACAGAGATAATACAGCACAAACCTCAGAGAGTTCATGAGGATTAAGAGAGTTAAAATATGTAAAGTACTTAGAACATTGCCTGGCACCTGTTTTTCCTTTTAGCTAATGGTACTTTTACCTTCATCTTGGCCAAGGGATTAACAACAACAAAGATAAAATTAAGGCTAATCTATTTTCCCTTTTGTGGATAGGATGTGGCAAAAGGATTGATGAATTTCAATTGAAACAAATGAAACTTGAACTACCTCATATTATGTTCCTATTATCACTGTCTACTGTTGCCTTGATAATTTAGAATGGGTTGCCTAATACTTTTGGAAACAAAAATATTTGAAATAGAAAACTAACAGATGGGCAGAGCTATTGTGAATAAACACAAGGGGAGAAAGAATGAAAAAGCTGCTATACTTATGTCACATATAAATTCATATTAGAAATTAAAATGCAAGAAAGACTATTATGCTTATAACTGGATTAAAAACATAATTAGAATGCTTAAATGCATACAATAATATAAAAATAAAATACAGAAAATCTAAAGTTATGCTAAAGCATTTATAATACAAAAATAAATCAAAAGGGTTGAAATGATTGTTAATTTTATGTAGTCTGAACATTTTCAAACATAGAGAAAAAAGTGAAAGTAGAACTCAAGTATTTTAGTAGGTCAAAGAATAAGAAAGATTTAATACTATTCATTTTTCCTAAAATATAATGTAGAATTAGAAAACAGTGCTTAGTTTTAAAAAAGGAAACTATAAACCCAAACTTTAAATATTCAGTTGACTTTTACTACTAAATAATGTACCCTTTACATAATACAGCTAATATGGAAAAAGATAGAGTAAATGGTTCAAGAAAGAGGGTCCATTCTAATGTACTGGTGATGTTCAGGACAATCTATTGAGCTGTACAACGACCATGCAGAGCACTCTAAATGGGGACCCACCGTTTAAAGGGTAGAAGGCAAAGTAGTTACCCTGGACAAGTTTTGGTGAGTAGCTTAACTTTGATCTTGGATACAATACTTGCAAAGATAATTATGATATTGATTTAAGAACATTCAAAGAAAAGGGTTGTATAATAGGTTGTATTTGAAAGGCACAGATCTTGCTATACTAAAATAGTAGCTCTTTTGAGATAACAGAGAATGGATAAACGGAGCTGGGTAGATAACATCTACCTACATTTTAACAATGCTTTCAATCCTGGCTGTATATTAGCATACTGAGAAATTAAGAGATGAACTATATTAATGATATGATAGTGTGAATTACTAGTGGCTTGTAGATTGGAAATTAAAGATTATTATTCTTTCAGATACAGAAATATATACACATACACATATAGATTAGCTCAGATTTTAATTGCAGCTAGGTTAAGTATATAAGGAAAATAAATGTAGTTTATACATTAATCATTTTCAGAAAGATCAACTTGATAGCATTCAAGTGTTTAGGCAACCGATAAGAAAACATTTTGAAAGCAAACAACAACAACAAAGAATGTAGCCAGTGCCCTGACTGGTTTGGCTCAGTGGCTAGAGCGTCGGCTTGCCGACTGAAGGGTCCCAGGTTCGATTCCAGTCAAGGGCATGTACCTTGGTTGTGGGGCACATCCCCAGTAGGGGTGTGCATGAGGCAGCTGATCGATGTTTCTCTCTCACTGATGTTTCTAACTCTCTATCCCTCTCCCTTCCTCTCTGTAAAAAAAATCAATAAAATATATTAAAAAAAAAAGAATGTAGCCAGTGATTTACTTTTTCTTTTACCTACAGAGTATAAGCAAAGGAAAACTATTGAATGAAACATGTTTTATCTTTTAAAATTATTGTCATGTTATTTTACCAGAATTTTCCTTCAACATTTGTAGTACTAATTTTCTTATGTTTTTTGTATGCACAGAAAATTCAGTGAGCTCAGATAAAAACTTGATATATTCATACTTGCAAACATTGATAGTATTTTGAAATTCATTGGTTTCTTTTTGAATGGCTCTAATTCTTTTGAGAAATAGACTAAATGAGTGAGGTCCTGTCTTAGAAAAGGGACATAACAGAGTTGGGTTACACTCTCAACCAGGTTATTTGGAATAAACTACAAGCTCAAGATAATTTATGTAAGCATGGATTTAAAGAATGAAGAGTGAACTGCAATAAACAAGAAACTGAGTATCTACTATGTGCTAGGCATTGTGGATACTAAATCCTATATAATCCTAGAGTCCACACTAGTTAGGATAACAGACTTGAAACAGCTATGATTGGAGGATGTGCTTTTTCAATAACTCTCAGATCAGAGACTAAGTTCAAGGTCTGTATGACTTAGTGAAAGTCTATGAGAAAAAATACTTTCAAAAGAATTAAAATACAACATTCAAGTATTTCCAGTTACTTAAAAAAGCCTTAACAAAACATCCTTTTAAAGATTGAACCAATTTAATGGGGAAAAAAAGACTATTAGAAATATCAATGTTACCATTAAAACTTCGTTAGATTTCTTTGCATAAATGAGGGATTTTGAAGTGTTTAAAACGTTTCTTTCACTAGAGCATGTGTTCATATATATATTTCAAAATAATCACAGTACCATCCTTTTTCAACTGATTATAACTCCAATTAAGATTTGAATTAATGGGATTAGACTAATAACTACTGCAAGATATATTCACTATGTTGGTTGGTAGTAAGTACCACACTTGTAATTTACAGTACCACAGTGTTTTATAAGGGCTATTATGTTATTAGTAAGTTTCATTGATCAGAATACCACATAACATTGGAGCACTTAGGATTTCTACTTAGGATTTTTGCCATTAGAATTCACTTGTTTTCTAAACCATAAAATTAGTTGATCTAGGACAAGAACATAAAGCCACGACTTATGGGGGTCAAATAAGATAAGAATACTGCACATTTATATATATAAATTAGTCCACATGCAGTTTGAATCTACTTATTTGTTGGGTTCTGCCACTTAAATCTACACAGGTTGGTTATGTTATCTTCTTCCTTTTTTTGATTTGTTGATTTGCTTTTGGGGCATGACTCTCATGGAATACTGCTTTTAATCATTCTAATCCATCATACTCAAACATTTTAGGTTCTATTGGTTCTCAGCGCACATTTGAAAGTTGGGAATTAAAAAATGTTTCTGGCATAATACATAAAAGATATGTATTATGGCAAAATTTTCAATTTTTAGATTTAGACAATGGCACTCAAAGCCAATATTCAGAACACATTATCAGGCTTCAAGTTCTTGAAAGCTCACAGAGGAAATAGTTACTCTGCTAATTAGCCAGTAAAGAAACATGATTGCAGTCCAAGTGAATCATCTTAACTCACAGGGAAAGCGTTGCCTCGATCTTGCTTTAAGCACTATAATTTAGAACAGTTATCTATAAAGCCCATGTGAAGGAAAGAATGCAACATTTTCACTTACATAAGTCACAGCAAACTAAAGGGGCAATAAAAATTTTTAGGGGAGATAAAAATGAGATTTCTTTGCATAGTATCTTTGGATGGTGGTTTCAATATAATTAAAAGAAAATATTTAATCTAAAAAACTATGACACAAATTTCTTAATTTGAACTATGACTATTTCTGACATTTCATATTTTATTGTTTCCTCTTAAGAGCTTTTTTATTTAAAGTGTTTTTGTTTGTTTGTTTTTTGCCATGGGGACTTTTCTTCATCTCTGGCAAAACATCAAAATGTACAGATAAGTTTGATCCATTTCTATGACTGGTTTTGATAATTTGTTAAGTATAAAGATAAAAGTCAGAAGGAAACAAACCAACACCAGCTCTACTTTATAACTTTATATCTTCCTAGTTTCCCCAGAATATATATTAGGATGCTAATAAACTAACATTTATGTTAACAAACAATAATTAGTGTTCAAGATATTGAGTATAGTGTGATATCGTGTCATAGTTTAGGCTCATGCAGTAGCATGAGGTACCCCCTAATTTCATTAAATTTTATGGTTTATTCTTAAATAAATGAAGAAAAACATGCCCAGTAGCGGTCCCTCATTATAATGAATGCTTTATAACAAAATGAACATATGCCTTTACCTTCCTCCTTTCTTCTCTTTGCTTCTTCTTCATTTCTTTCTTTGGCTTTCAATGCTTCATCAGCTTTTGCTGAAATAAAAACAACAAAATTTCTGCACTTATTTTATGTCTGTATCATAAGTGAAAATATTGGGGAACGGGAAAAGAAATTCCTTATATATTTTTTGTGAAGTTGTCAGAAGAAAAAAACAAACGGGCTGAAAATCTGAAATATAACATTTACAATACTTATTCAGAATTTTAGAATATTTATTTCAAAACTTTGAAGCTAAGTTCAAGCTAATTTCTTTACAAAAAGGCAAATGAGTTTAAGCAGCATAAGTTTAAACAATGGCGTATGAACTGGGGAAAGCTTTTGGTCATCTGATTTGTCAGTACAGTGCATCTGTTTTAAACTTCAGAGAAAAATTCTTAAGCTACAATTCACATTTTAAATATGAGAAGCTTACAATATCTTTGGAACAGTATCAAATTAGGTAGCATATTATTTTTTTCCCCATTGCATATCATAGTAGCAGTTCTTTATTCATGTTATGACAGCATTTGGTAAAAAGAATCTTTTTCCCTCTAGAAACCTCTTCCCTTATTACTTAATTATCTACTAGTTGCTCAACTGCAGGGGTTTTCAAACACTTTACTACAGATGTTAAAGAAGATTAAAAATATACAGCACAGTAACAAGGGACTATCAATATACTCTGTAAATTAATTAAATTTCTGTTCTAGCACATCATTTATTCCAAAGCATTAACGTCTCAAAGGAGCGATTCTCCTTTATTGCCGTCTCACTGCCTGATGAGTGAACTAAGTGAAAATAAGTCTCTAATAGCATTATAGTTGATGAAATATTAAGTTAAAAAAGTATTGCCTTGTCAAAAGAAAAAGAATCAAACTGTGCCAGCATTAAACTTTGGATGAGCCTTTATTATAATAATAACAGTAATGTAAACTGTGATTTAAAAAATAAACACACTTGCTCTTCAGTTTTTGCTGCATATCTTTTTCCTATGCAAAATCAACATACCCTTCAGAAGTATAAAACCTGGCTTAAAGGGGGAATTTAAAAAAAATACACATCACATATATAACTATTTTTCTTCAAAGTTTATTTTTCTTCACCATTAATATCGACACTTTCTTAAAATATAAAACTTATATAATGGTGTTGTGAAGTGCTATATCCAATTACACAGACATCTGTTTCCATTTACAAGCTTTAATACATACTTAGGCTGCATTTAAAGTCATGAAATATTAAAACTTTTATGCCACTCTGTATCACTGCAAGAATCTATTAAATTAGATAATAAAAACAAACCACCAGTAACTCTAAAGACTTTTACTTCATTTACACTTTATTCTCCCTAGTAGAAGGACAAGGATAATAGAAATTCCATTTAAATTCAATTTTGGTTATATGTGTAATTGTAGATATACCCCTTGAGTCATGTAAAATGCTCAGCTTATGTTTCTTTCAAATTATCCCGCTCAGATTCACATTCTACTCCTTACAACCATCTTCAATATGTATTAGCGGAGCTCATTAAACTGAAATTTAATAATGCAAACATCAGGTGGATTTCAAGAACCTCCATTAACAATGTAAGATGGATTGCTTATATATAGCTCTTGGGCCAACTGGGCACAATTTAAATTCAATAAACTACCCTGCCTAAATCTGATTTATCTATTTCACTATGCCGGTTTGTCCTTTCTTACTGATTTGTTGTTATACATGGACAATTCATTGGAATATTGTTTTAGATTTTTTTTTTTAAACTGCAAATGGCTCTTGTGCTGTGGTTAAATATTTTATGTAATTGAACTTCATGCTGTCAATCAAGATTCCCAAGTATGTGCATATGTGTATGTTTATATAAATAACTTTGAATTATATCAAAATTGCATAGGTAATTAATTTAAAAAGCACACATTTGAGAATTTTATTAATAGTCAGTGTGCTTTCTACAAAGAATCTAAATAAATTCATTTGAGGAAAATTTATTTATTCAAATAGGATAAACTCATTGATTATTAAGGGACTTGGGAAGAAACATTTTTTTCTTTATGTCTGCTTTATTATATTATTATTTAAATGGGATTAGGAACAAATGTATGGTCATTTATACATTTAGTGATTTACACATATACATTATACATATGTATACATTTATACATATACATTATATGATTTAGTTTATCATAATTTTTTTAATATTCTCTAAAAGGCGGCAATCCCATTTTATAAATGATGATACTGAATCTCATTAGATGAACCAAAAAAATGATAAAGCGGTAAGACCTATCTTTTTTTATTTTTATGATTCCTGATCATCCCCTTTGGATTATGCATTTACCAAAAGTACTTCCATCTTCCACTAACCTTGTTCACAACTTCCAACCCCCCCCCCCCCCAGGCTAATAGTACCCTCTGGGATTTGCTTCTTTCCCTGGCCCAAGGCAACCATTTCACTTCCATGCTCATAACACCCTTATTTTCCTGATTCCTTTGTTGTTTTGCCAACCTGTTACAATACATCTGACCAATTTTTCCTATTTTTGCTGCAGAGGCAGACTACAAAATGGTATATCAATGTTACTGCTTTTACCAATGATTTAGAAATTAACATGGACCCTTCCTTGGTGTTCCTCCTTAGTCAGCACCCCTGGTTGGTTTACATGCTCATTTCCTACAACTTACAATGCTTTCTTTACTACAAGTGCCAGTAACCTCTTACCAGCTCCCCCAAGTCACTAATTTTTTTCAGCCTAACACCCATTCACCTCTATATCTTAGTCAACCCTTACTTCTTTTTTGCCTCAAATGGAAAGTAAACCATTCTCTTGTGCTTTAGAATCTATTCCTTTCCATTTCCTTTAGGGTTCTTTCTGCCTCTTAAGATTCACTCACTCTTGTCTATGCTTAGACTATAAATAGATTCAAGGCTCACAAATCCTGTACAATATTAACTCTTCTTTCAACCAAGTTATTGCCTCTTCTTATTTCCAACAGACTTTGTCCTCACAGCTTTTGCCAGAGGCCCTAAAAACTCTGCAATTGCCAAATTTAATAGTTACCTCAGTTTTATCCTGTTACAGTCTCTCCTTTTAAAAAAACAACAGCTAACCAGCCACATCTTTATCAAATCCAAACTCTTTAGATGCCATCTAAAGCCCCTCTCAGTCTGACTTCAATGTGACTTCCAGCTTCATCACTCACCACTCTTCTTTCATTACTTCAAGGATACATGGCCTTGGTGGGCCATCCTGCCTTTTGTTCGTATTATCATGCCTTTGTTCTTACTGGGGTCCCTATCTCACTTTTTCACTGAGAAAATTTCACCAGAAAGTTTTAGTTCAAATGGCACGCTCTTCTTTGAAACCTTCGCTGACCAATGCCCTTTGTCCCCAAGTGGATCTGACTACTCCCTCCTTGCTTCTTAGGCACTTCAATACCTTCCTTATGAAATGTTTATACTTTATTCCTTCATTACAGAAATATCCATCTCCTCGAGAACTGAGGACATTAGTATAAGTGACAGAAATTGTTAGTAATATTTTTCATGATTGTTTAGCCAGATTACATGTTCTTATCTCCTTGAAGTTAAGTGGGGCTATTTACTGAGTTCAATCCAATGGAATATGAACATATGAGATGGGTGTCATGTTTCCATACCTGGCTTATAAAAAACTCCCATGTAATCCTCATTTTCTTTCCCCATTCATTGGCTGAACAGAGGACCTACGGATGGTGAACCACAAGATAAAAGAAATCTGGGTCACTGAATTTCTACAAAGAATGGAAATGCTTTCCTGATAACTTGTCTTATACAAAACATATTTTTATTTTTTTAAGATGCTGAAATTTGGGGGTTAACAGTTAGTGTTCAATGAATATTTCCTAAACAAGTGAATCAAAAGGACTTTGAAAGTTAACACAAATATTATTTTGTTTCTTCTAAAGTGAAGTCTCCTTTCAGAAAAGAAGCCTCCTATGGCTATTTCATTTGAATGATGGAGATTAGAAGACCAGCTGTAGAGGTGATGTGGGGTGAAGTAGGGGACTATTCAGTATGTGGTGTCAAGGGCATATTATGAGAACTTTTCTCATCTTTACTGACTCTACTTAAAAATTCCACAGATATAAGACTTTTTAGATTATTGTGGCTGTTTGCTTAAGTCAGATTTTAAATAATTCAGGGAAGAACTTTACATGCCCTATGAGAGAAAATCAATTAGGTCAACAACTGGAGAAAAAAAAAGGACTGAAGAGGTATTCAATGCATCCCCTACTTTCAGAAAGGACTGTATTAATATTCCCAGAGAAGATTTTTTTTTTTTAATATATTTTATTGATTTTTTACAGAGAGGAAGGGAGAGAGATAGAGAGTTAGAAACATCGATGAGAGAGAAACATCGATCAGCTGCCTCCTGCACATCTCCCACTGGGGATGTGCCCGCAACCCAGGTACATGCCCTTGACCGGAATCGAACCCGGGACCCTTCGGTCCGCAGGCCGACGCTCTATCCACTGAGCCAAACCGGTTTCGGCCCCAGAGAAGATCTTTTAATAAGGGTTTAACTTTTCTCCTCTGTGGAAATCTCACCTGGAAGTTCTTTTCTATATGTAGCTCAATCTCTGAAATTGTACCAACATGAACAGACCAGAAATGTTGAGGAATTCTTAAAAAATAGCAAGCATACGGGTTCAAATCTATGGAAAAATGGTTAGAAGAAATCACAGCCCAATCATATTCAGGAGACTTACACAGATATGGGAGGAACTCCAAGGGCACTTCAATTTTAGAATCAGTAGAAACCAAGCACAGGAGGTAGGCCTGCCTGGGGCAAATGTTAAATAGGGAATTATGAATGGAGCAGCTGAACAATGGCACCTCCCTTGCAGGGTAAATAGGGTATAGCTATTACTTGAACACAGGTTAAAGCAGTGTGCGTAGGAGGTAATAAACCCAGTGAGGCAAGGGCTGGTCACTACAAATGCCTAAGGACTGAGAAGCTACTAATGTGTTCTTACTAGCAACACACCTTGTCTCCTGACACGATCAATG